ATGAATATTTGGCTGAATATCCTTGGTTTTCGATTACAACCCGTATTGGGTTATAAGTTATTTTGAAAAAGTAATAAATTAAAAATTACTGATTACTACTGGATAATTGTAATCTAATTACTCATTACTTGGTGTAAAACATAATCAGATTACTAAGTACTTTGCTTGAAGTTACTTTTAAAACATAAAATGTGCCTAAAAAAAGGTAAAATAAACTGCAGCTCTTTCAGTAATGCAATATTCACTGAAAAACATTACAATGGGTTAATCACAGCAGTTTGACATATTCAAAATACTTAGAGTTTGCCTAAAGCTTAATTCTCTCATAATTTACTTCTTCTAAACCTGCTCGTCTTTTTTTTTTTTTTTTTTACATTAAAGAAGACATGACGAAAACTAAATATCTGTAACCACTGACGTCCATAATATGCAAAAGCACTGCAGTCTTTGGGTGTTCTGTGTATATCTGAGCTATTTAGTCTACCTAAATGTGTATATTCCATAGTATGAAACTGATCAGTCAGTTCTTGTCACATGACTCACTGCTTTCAACTGGGTGCACCTGGGAATTATACATGCATGCAAAATACACAATATGTGAATGGTCCCATAAGCAGCTACGCTTCTCTTGAAATTCAGAAGATACCTTTACTCCCGATCCTGCACAAAAATAAAATATAGCCTGTTTAGGGTGAGTTGGGCCATCATGTTTTTAAGCGCCGGTGTCCTCTTTGTTGACGAGTTTTGTCCAAGTTTATATTCAAGTGCTTGAGCAAGTTGCTGGACAAGTTTAAAGCAGTTGAAAGTTCTTTAGAGACTGGACATAGACTGGATTGCACAGCAATATTTTTGTTTTTATGTTCAATGAAATCAAAGCATTGTCTGTATTTCCACTTGCAGAAGCAGCCAATCCCAACAGCAACCATTTCAGCTCATGTTCTCGCATGCTCATTAACTGATGTTGCAGTGAAAAATGTGATTTAAAATAAGCATTTTTTTTCTTGCAAAAATTATATTTGTTGCATAACTTACACAAATACACTGACTTTAGTAACTGTGATCAAATTACACAAATTTAAAATTTTATTTGTTACATTACAGCGTTCTTCAAAAATGTAACTTGAATACAGTAACACGTTAATGTGGAATTAAACCCAACTCTGATTACAACAAATGGAAAGCTAAGTGGTCATTTTGTTTAGAGTACCTATAAATCCTGCAAATATTAGTAAAGAATTGTTATGGATTTGCACAAACCCTTAAGCATTGGTAAGCATGAGACGTATGTCACGCAGTACAGAAAGTTACAGATACCTTTTGTTATTCCAACCCAAGGATATTCTGAATATATAAAGACAGTTATAGCCCAGCCATCATGCGGTTCCTCTCATAGCGAGACAGAGAGCAGCTCAGCTTGTGGTTCAGTGAATTTGAGATGGCTGTCTGCAGCAGGTCTGGAAAGAGCCAGGGGCAACTACACTTACTACAGACAGTAATGAGGGAAGTAATAACCTCTCTCGCACACACACCCCATTACTTCTATCAGGCAGGTATAAGCACACCAGTCATATATCTGGTCCCTCGGATTCCCTCATCTGAACTATAGAGGCAGATGAACCGAGTGATCTTTAGTTGGATTCAGATCAAGACAAATTCAAGTATGACGACCTGCCTGAGAATAAAGAGTCGAATTGCTTCAACCTGAGCTCCTCAGAAGTGTTTGGGGAGAAAGACTTGCTCTTATCCTCCAATTTGAAAGGGAGCAAAAATGTGAGTTTGCATCAATTGAAAGAGCGGTTAGATCTCACGTCTACTTTGAGGCACGCAAACACACCACTTTCTTATTGAACGTTTTAGTCACACAAATGATGGTACCAGAATACACAAGGTCAGCTGCCAGTCAACATCAAGGCCGCTTTTATTGCCACACAAACCCGTCATGTTGTTCTAAACCACCGCCTACGTTTAACCGACTGCTTAAGACCTAATGCTAACACCTGCTGATCGCACCAGAGTAAATCGCTGCGTTGTCTGCCATGTTTACAAGATCTGCAGACTCAACACGTACTGTGTCTCCCCATCGCAGCCCCCTACTTGCCTATAGTAATGGCTCATTTATTTTCCTGTTGCTATATAAACCAGCGCTGCCGCCCGTGTCGGAGTTTCTTGACAGAGCAGAATTGGGACTCAGTCACAAAGATGCCCTGTTTATTCCTCCAAGACTGCCTATTAGTGCAGCTTGCCTGCTGGGGAAGCCACATCCTGGGACGACAACATTAAACACATTCGTACCAGGGAAGAAACCGCTAATACTCGCTCCATACTCCCCTACATACTTCTCTGTCGACATTAATTCATCCTCCCGTCTACACGGGTGTCTTTGACAGCCCACCATGTGCTCCTTCGCCCTCTTCTTTTTCCTCTGTCTCGTTTGGCAGGTTGTTGTTTTCAGAACACACAGATGGAAAAACGCCTTCAAAGGACAAAGAAACACATGGATGACTTAGATGAGAGAGAAAAAAACATGGCTGAAAAAAATATATAAAAATAAAATGAACCTAAGTAGAATGACAAGAATAAGAATGATGTGGTATATACGAAAGTGGAAAGCGGTAGTGTGGCACACTTTCCATTCTTTTGCCCAAGGGGCGCTGTGCAGGTAACAGATTGACAATCTTCACTTCGTCTGTCTAATGCTTGAGAGTAGAAAGTAAGAAAGTAGTCACAAAGACCCACCAGCTTGGCAGCTTGCACAGAAATTGAATTTTGTGCATGCACCTCATGAATAAATTCACCTAAGCCTGGTTTTGTAGGTAGAACGAAATTGTAAGACATTCCACCTGATTGTTGTCAGTATCTGATCTGTTTCCTCTTCATAATGGTGTTTTATTTCATTCTTGCATGTTTGTTTAAAGGCAAATTCAAATAGCAGAATCACAAAGTACAAGAATTAGGTAATACAAATGTACCATGTGTTTGCAAATGTTACTGTAACATCTATTAGTCCAATGACGTAACTAACAGCATGGGTAAAGGTTAAATGTGTGTAAGCCTTAGCACATTTTAAAAAAAATTGTTGAAATTTATTATAATTTGTTTTTAAGTCTTAATTCAATCTGACTCGAATTTATAAGAATTCAAATTTAAATTCATCCAATTCAAGCTGATTACCTTATAGATTGTGATTTGGTCTAATTTAGATCGATTACCCTAATAAATCCTTATCTTCAGTTAATGGTTCATCGTTTACCCGAAGTCGCTTAGAGTCAGTATGCTGGCCAGTTCATCTGCTCACAGAAACATCCTCACCAGTTCTAGTTCTTACATTGAGCATATAACTGTAAACTAATTTCCTTTAAGTATTATTAGGCTGCTCCATGCTTGCTCATACATAAAGAAAGTTTGATTTATCCACTAGTTTATATCATACTAATTCAGTGATTGTCAGAAATCAACAGGTCTCTAATGCTGTGCCTATGCTTCATCCATTGAGTCTGAATGTATAAACAAATCCTGGTCGTAGGTTGCGGAAACATCAGTCTAAACAATCTACTAGTTACAAAGGTTTTAGGTTTTCTCCTGTTCTTGCGCTCTGATTAGGCACGCTGAGTTATGATCGGTTCAAACAGCATACTGCGGGAGAAGTATCAGTCGGCCTGGAGAGTGCAAAAAATCGAGTAAGGCGATTTAGAAATTGTACATGTCTATATGATTTCAATTAATCGCATTGCCCTAATTCACCGTCTGTGTATAAAATTGCACTGTGAATTAAGAAGTGAGTGTCTGTTGTCTAAAAAAGTCTGTTTTGGCACAACATCTTTTATTTCTAATGATTTTTCTAATGATTAATGCTTTATGTAAAATAAATATTGCATATTGAATATGATTTTTAATATTCATTTTAAAGTAAGTTTGTTTTTCAAAATAATTCAGTTTACACTGAAAGATAAAGTGATTGTAATGTAAATAGTAACTAAATGGGTGACAGTGCCATAGGGAATGCTTTGTAGAAACTTTAGTAAAAGTTTTGATCAGTTTCACTAATACTATTACTGGTAATCATTTTTAAATGAGACCTTTCTTTTTTCAGTTTATTGTGTGAAACGTTTGATTGGATTCTGATTCCGAGTCCCTGTAGTTTTAAATCGCTTAATCATTTAATCCGTTTTTAATCAAACTGCCTTGAAGTGTCTTTTTAACCTATGTGCTGATTACATATGTTGGTCAACTTTTGTCATCTAATAAGCTCGCTAATTCCCGCGGATGTTCCCTAAAGCTTGTTTACATAACATGATTGTTGCTCTTCATAAAAGAGTTGTGTAAGAACACATAGCAGCCATATTTGTTGCTGAATGTGACCAACATTTGTATTCTGCTGCTGCTGAATACCTGAAACTTAACAATAGGTTTCTCTTCATATCAGGACGAAAATAAAAATATTTTAATAAGCACTTTTCTGCTGTTGTTTTTATATTGTGTGGGAGCGTTTCCCATTAATCTGTGTGTACTGTAGAATTAGCATGAGGCAGCTCCTGCTGACTTGTCTAGCTGGTAGCTCTGTGTCAGTCAGTGCTGTGGGTGGGCAGTCTGCTGATTTACAGAGGAAGTGAGTCTGCAGTTATGGAGTGTTAGTAATCATTCTCACCTGCTGGAGACTGGGATGCAGCTGGGAGCGCAGGGGCACTGCCTCATCCACAAATCAGGTGTTGGTAACTACTTCCCCCTCCTACTATTATCTGCATGTCGTCTGATGATGAGGACAGACACGGTTCAAAATTTCCTCTAACAATTCCTATGCGTTTGCTTATTTACCATCAGCAGAAATATAAAGTCAAAGATTGAAAAGTAGAGCAGGGGAGATCTTTCTTTTTTACTATGCTCATGAACTCTAGAGATGATCAAGTCTAATACAGATGTTGTAATTAACGAGTGACAGGCCTAACAGAGTGTAAAGCGCAGCGGTGCAGTGGCTGATCTCTTAATGTTTCTTGTTCCCGCAGGGTGGACTGAGGAACAGCAAGCACGAGTGTACGCTCTCGTCACAGGAGTACGTGCACGAGCTGCGCTCAGGAATCTCCGAAGACAAACTGCTCAACTGCCTGGAGTCCCTGCGCGTGTCCTTGACCAGCAACCCGGTCAGGTCAGTCAGTCAGTCATTCTTCACCAACTCTAATCGTTCAAGTCACTCCTTCTGAAACCAGTCTCTGATTGAGTAAGCTGACATATCAACACTCACTTCAGCCACCTCAGACCATCCTCTCTCTGTGAAATGGAAATTTAAACCTCATTTTTCTGTCTACACATTGCAATCTTGGAGGATTTCTCTCAGGATGCTAATTGGAAATCTGTCAATGGGTCTTTTAACCTTCAGTCTATGTGGATCCCCGATTCTGGTTAAATGAGCGTAGCCCATAGCATAGCCGGCTAAATGAGTGTATCCTCCAGTCACTTTGAGAGCAGCCCTGTCATCTCCCCCTCTCTATCTATTAAGCTCTAATAGATAGGAAATCCTTTTTTTTAACACTTCAGACAGCCAGCCATTCTCTGAAACGTTAATAAGCGCGCCAACCACCACAAGACCAGGCGCTTGGCTTTCAAGTCCTGCCACTAAAGTGTGCATCCCGCCTGCTTTTTTTAATCTGTTCTGATCACGCCTAATGTAGTACTTAAAATAATTTTGCGCTTTCACGCAGCCTCCCCTTGCACATTTCTGCCAAGCTTTTATTGTTTTACTAGCCCTTCTCGTTCGCTCATAATAAGGCCCGTCTCAGCCTTCTCTCCCACAAAGTCTAACCTCCCCTCTAGTGGACGGGATTTTCAAATTTAATTTGGTCCCAGTAGCGCAGAGGAACGATATGTGACAGCAGACTCTCTCAATTATTTACCAGAGCACTGTCTGAGAGATGGCCCTTAATGTGAATCAATGAGCGCAGCATATAAAGTGGTCATCATGCAATTGGCAGGCAGACCATCTCTTTAGGTCCACGCTTACGCAGTGGGGAAAGAACCCGAGCGGAACCTGCCATTTGATCCGATGGCATTATGTGCCACGGCTCTTCTCAACAGATGTGTTTTGCACTGGAAAGCAATTAATAGACGCCCCTGCCCTTCTCCCCAGATGGCGGTACAGTGCAGCGAGTCAAAGGAACACAAACACCGAAATGACTTTGCTATTGTTTTCCTGTCACAGAACACATAATCTAGAATGTGAGTTGTAGAACACAGCGCCTGAAGGTAATCTCTTGTTATTGCCCTAATTAAATGAAGGGATGGCATCTCGTTTTGTTGTCTTTATCAGATCATCACAGTGCTGCACGGTGGCCCCGTGCATCCAATTATTTACTCCACTGTTAGCCATTAATCATGAGAAGCAGATTCTTCGAGAAGCCCACACTTATCCCCCCATGAAGACAGGTTGTTTGTAAAGATCAGACTCTTTGGCTGAAGACGAGTGGCGTCAGCACATCCCTTCAGTAAAAGGGCAGTTTGCGCTATGGGGCCACCGAGGCCAGGACCACCCTCCGGGCATCTGCAAATGGCTGAACTTGTGAGTGCCCAGTCAGAGAGGGGCGCCGAGCGGTGTCTCACACAACCACTGAAGGTCAGGTCTTGCTCAGAGAGAAGCACCCTGGGGTGACGAGATGCTTGGAGATACTCACCGCACTCTTCTTTTTTTTTTTTTTTTGCTTTGTTTTGTTTTTTTCAACAACACTGAGGTGATTCTCACCGGCTTGCATGGGTAACAAATAATATGAGTAGAGCTAATTATTACGGATCACAAAACACAACTGAATACAGTATGTTAATGTAACCTTTATAGTGTTCTTGGTGTATGTTGCTGAGATAGCTGCACAAAAGATAGAAACATAAAAACGATTTTATTTTTTTTAGTGGACAGTTCAGATGCAGTTTCTGCCTTATTTGGTTTGCAAAAACCATCTAAAAGCAATTTGAGGTAGTGTGTTAAGTCCTCAATATACTCACATTTTGTTGTTCTTTTTGGGAGTTTAACAGAACAAAATAAGTACTGAACAAATAGAAACAGTGCTGAAAATAACTGTTAATATAACATTTGGTCCTAGCAATGTGGATATGTTTGATGTTAAGCCAGATAATGTTTATGTAAGACCTTATACAATCAGTTGCATAAACATCTTTTTTTATTTGTTTATTCAACTTTTACAGATATAATAATGTAAATTTACAGAGACATTTAAACAAATATTATTCCCACCCCTACCCTGTAAACCAGAGATGCCCCAACTTGGGCAAGCGGGCCAAAGTTGGCCCTTGGTAACCTTTGATTTGGCCCACCATCCTATCTGAGAAGAAAGAGAGAACGATGTGGATGGTTTAGAGATTTAATAGTTTGTTTTATTGTTAAGCTACAAAAAAAACAAAACAAAAAGCTGACTGAAATTTAACGTTTCAATGTAAATGCTGTAATTTAGTTTAAAAAGTACATACTATTACCTGACAGAAAAGGGCAATGCAGAGACTTTGAGCAAATCAAAGCAAAGAAAGATTCTGCTTGACTAGTGTATTCAGCATTGAACTCCATTATGCTTCAAATTTGATTGTTTGTTTTTATTGCTGTGAGTTATTATTTCAAAAAGTTATACTGCATTAGTTAATGCGATTAAAAGTGATGTTTTTCTATTTATTTTTCAAAATTCTGAAATAAATGAGGAAATTACCCATGGCAGCTTTAATGTAAAATAGTTTGGTATAATTATCTTTGGCCCACATCTATTAATAATACTTGGTTTTTGGCCCTTCGTAGAAGTTTGGGCTCCCCTGCTTTGAACAAAACTAAATTACAATCATCCGTACATACATACATACATACATACATACATACATACATACATTCATATATATTATAAATCAAAAAATTATAAACATTAATCCTCAGGTATTTATACAATTTACTTATTTTTTTCCTAATGGATTAAGCTCATTGCATCTCGCAAACAGTTGTCAAAGCACAGGGGAAATCTTTGTTTTCATAATGAAAGAATAGGTTGCTTTGCTAACAGTGTCAAAAATGCAAGAGCGTGTGCAGTAAAACTTGATATCCCTGCTATATTCAGAGAAAGTCCAAAAAATTCATTAAGAGGACACAGTTCACTGTTCATCTGTTACAGTACAGAAGAGAAACACTTAAAAAGTAGTGATTGATGGACAAAGTCAAACATAGCAATCTTATATAGGGTGAAAGTCTTTGACTTATTTTTGCCAACCTAACTTTTGCCCAGTATATTCGGTAAACAAAGTTCAATTGGATAAGGCATTGTTGTGCACAAATAGAGGAGGTATAAACACGTGACAAAACCTGGTCCCACATCTTCCAGCTTGAATGCAAGATTGCGTTCTGAATTCCACTGTTGTTTAATGAAGGAAAGAGGTACTAGAAAAATAGGAGATCAACCTGTATAAAATTGACAGTATACATTTTTAACTAAGGGTACTTTAAAAATTTGGTCAAGTTGAGATTTTGGTGGAAGATTTGGAAAATCTAAAAAATTAGTTTTAAGTTTCTGGAAGTATCTAAAAAAATGGTTGCTATAGGAAGAGAACATGTTTGTGTTAATCGTGAAAAGTGCATACTTCTTTATGGTATTAAAAAGCATTAACGGTTTACATGGTAAAGAAAGTGAATCCTATCTATTATATATATCTTTGGTAGTTCAAAGTTGTTTAACATCTGGATTGAAAGTTTATGAAAAGTTCACTTGGGCAAGCTATTCTTCCGAAACAAACCTCAAACATACTCGGTTTTTGGCATGGTTTTGTTCAAAGTAACATCACAGCAGTTAGTTCTTTTTTGCTTGAAGTGTATCAGAGCATTTACATAATGTAAAAGTAGTTTCTTTAGATCAAAAAATCAAAGAATGGCTAGACTTTCTCAGTCCCACACAGATGAGAAAAAGTAAGGTGTCTGAAGTTTAATTCCTGTGGGACCCAATTCATTTTTACAGCTCATTTCTTCATGCTGGTCATTTATTTATTTATTTTTATTTTTTCAAACTGGACTTTTGTGTAAGATTGGAGTGTCACGCACAGCATGTGTTAAATGGGAAATTAATTTGTGGTGAAAATGACCCCAAGTTCCTTTAATTTGCTAAGGTGCAATTATAGATGAGTGCCTTCATACCTTATCTCTGTAAGAAATATGTCAGGGTGTGGATTTCATTTCTCACAAGTGATGGTTCCTGCAACGTGTTCTGTTCCTTGATAATCAAACAGTGCACTCAGGAGCATAGCAATGGCTTTGGTTTACTCATGTGTGTAAAATTGTATACTTAACATACATTACCTGTCTTACCCATGATGGAGCATTAATAACAGTCTGCTTTTATTTTTCTGACGGGATCATCTATTAATGCATGGATTATCTTGCATGCCATGTCCTGTTTTGACTGTTCTAGATTCCCATATCATTATTTTAATTTGTGTCATAGTATAAACATCCCGAATGGGGAAAAAAATCAAAAGGCAATTATTTTTAATGTGGGTCTTAAAAAACTAATGGAAGTATGCTCAAAGAAATTCTTTCTTTCTTTCTTTCTTTCTTTCCTTCTTTCTTTCTTTCTTTCTTTCTTTCTTTCTTTCTTTCTTTCTTTCGTCACATAAACAAACCTTGCACACTGAGTCTGATGCATATTAATCAATCCATCAGGAAAAATGCAAATTTTTTCATTTTAAGCTGTGAAATTGTTCTCCTCTGTCTTCTCTAAAGTAGAAAAAGCAAGAGGAATAGGCTACATATTGTGTTTATTTAATACTAGTCTATATATATATATATATATATATATATATATATATATATATATATATATATATATATATATATATATATATTGACATGTAGAGAGTAAGGAGAGATCTCCTCCTTATCAGAGCTGCGCTACAAGTAACCCGAAATGCAAAGTTTATTTCAGGAAATCAGTGGATTTCTGATGTGATACTTCACACATTCAGGTACGTAAACTGATCCTGAACAGAAACTGGCAGTACCTATAGACTAGGGGTGTCCAACCTCGGTCCCGGAGGGCTGATTTTAGCTCCAACTTGCCTCAGCACATCTGCATGGGTGTTTCTAGAAAGCTTAGTAAGAGCATGATTAGCTAACCCAAG